ATTTCACTCTACACAAGTTGTCCTTGATATCTGTGACGCCGTTGTTCTAAGTGACACTGATCCAACAGTGTGTTGTAAGCATTCTAAAGCCAAAGCTGCTGGGAGTACTTCATAACAAATTATTGAAGTTGACGCTCAAACATTCTCACTGTGACCATCGTTCAAGTCCTCTGGAGGTGTCCTCATGTATGGAAGCTCACCATGCTAAAAACGGGTCAGACAACTTTGTGGCTCCGGCTGTGGTGACCAGTTTGGTGCCATCTGTTCACCTTATACCACGGAACTACACTCGGCACTAAGTGTGATTACAAACTTGGGTTCAAATGGAGCATAATGTCGACGGAAAATGCGCTCACCTGCTGATTTCCGAAAAGGAAAACTAAGGAGGCGAGCTGCGAAGGGTTTTTAAAAATCGTGTGATTAGTGGGCTGCGTTTGTATGTGTTTTTAAAAAAGTGTCTCGGCTTGAGAAAGTTTGTCGGATTCACAAGTCGATCAATCTTCTGGCAATTATTGGTAGCCAGTTTCGAAAAATTATGCACAATGTACAACGTGTAATAATGTAATGTATCGGTGTATGAATGTAATGAATAATTGGTGCGTGACTGAGTAACTGGTGCGGTATAGATGGGGTATTGTAGTGGCGGGCAAATTGACACATATCGGATACTTAGCTGGATGCCAGTCACAACGCACGAATGCGGCAGAAGTTGTTAGTGGGGCGGGCGGGGGGCGGTGAGCTAAGCGAGATTTGCTGACATCGCCAGCGGAACTACTACGATTTTAGTGACTTAGTTGAAGTCTGGGGTGAACACAGAGCGCATCACAGCACTCCAGGATAGACTGTCAGAATTGAACATTTTGCGATCTATCAGTCCAACTTTCTACGTGTGTGCATACCGATCCATCCATCTGTCCACTATGTTTGCCTGATTCTCTACCTGTTGCTAAATTCGTCGTCCTGCCTGTCTGGCGTTCGATGTATCCGTCCAAATGTTCCTACACATTTCTGTCCCTCTATACATCTACTCGTTTGTATTTTTCACTGCAGCTTCAATATTTAATCCAGCTATAATGCTCGTTGTCTGCGTCACACGTTG